ATTGTAAACACTTTATTATTTTTTTTAATTAGAATACAAAATTGTATAATAATAATAATAATAATAATAATTAATAATAATAATAATAATAATATAGGTAAAACTAGTTAAAGATTTAAGTATTTTTGTATGGTAATTTTTATAGGTTGTATATATTTAATTATTCATGTGTAATTAAGGAATTCGTATTTTTTTCAACAGCAAATTGTGCCCTTTGTAGCTACTCTTGGCGATATATGCAAGCCGAAATGTTGATACATAATTGCTGAACTGAAAAGGATATTTTAATGGAAACCAATTCTTCGACCAATGCAATGAGTTCAGCGTTTTTTTTTTTTTATTATACTGTACCACATCATTATCTCCTCAAAAATCTCAATATAGAGTAGATAATAATTAATATGATTTAAAAATTAAATTCTGGTAGTATTCTTGATACCGTACTATAGCTTGTTTCATTTTTTACCCCAATATTGTTGATTTAACCTTCAATATAAATTGAAAATTCAAAAGAACTAATTTAATATGATATTGAATAATGTGTGGTAATATGCAAAACTAAAAATTTGAAGTTGAATATGAAAAGTTTAAAAACACTTAAATTTAATATTAATTACCAATGTTGTGATTATTAGCATATTATGAGAAATGTTGAAGTTCTGTAACTGAAATCATTCATTTAAATGCTTAAAATGAATATTAAGTAAGTGAGTATAAAAAGTTTTGTAAAATTGTAGAAGATTTGATGATCTTAAAAAATGTTAATGAAGTGATCCTATAAGCACTACCGATTATCGTAAGTAAGAATAGCATTGTGTGTTATGTTCATGACTCGTCGTAAACATAGCCACTGCGTTTAAAATACAGTAAGCCTAGTCGGTAATGTAAGGAGAACTGCAATAATACTTAAGCTTCTTTACATCAAATCGTGAATGCACGCTTTTTATTATATTATTATATAAATTTGTGTGAAACTTTTAAAAGAAAAGAATTTTAGAGGAAGAATTTATGTTGAAAAAGTGCATACCGTGCTGTTTCCCACGATCAAATAGGCGGATGCCATAAAACGAAATGTCATAATTAAGTGTTCATCCTACAAAATGACAGAGTGAATCCCCTAACAGACTAAGTCTGCATGAAAGATCAAGTCGAGTGCCCAAGCAGTAAGGTAGGGGCACCCTCCCTTAACACTTGGCCATGGCCAAAAATAAGTAGGCCTATGTATTTTGTTGTGGGAATATCATTTTGCAGTAATCTTCTAAGTGATTCAATATTTCTTTTTTTTTTTTAAATTAAGACCAATTTTAAACATGACAATATAATTGTCATATTAGGCAAGCTCACCAACAATACTGCCAAATCTACAGATGGGCAACAGTATACCGGCAACTTTTTCATCATAATAATATTAGAAATTGAAACCGTTTTGGTAATCGTTTATTGGAAGCGGCTATCGTTACACCCGTCCTAAAGTAATTCCTTAAAAAATATGATTAATACACTTCTAGATGGCTGGAAATGGCACTTCCACATTTAAATTTGATTTTTTTTCTTTTTAATAATTTGGACATATTTAGGAGACGAGTATGGGTTGGCCACTTAAATTCGCCACTGATGGCCTAATTGCAGAGTACTATTGAGAACAACTAAGACATAAATCGAATAAGAACATATTTGTGAAGCCATCTACAACGTGTGTGTCGGATCATCACGATCGTATCATCTTCGTCACCAACACGACCGGCGTCTTCCCCGTCTTAACCGTTATCAGTATCACCATCATTATGATCATCACCGCCAACGGTGTCATTGTCCTCATAGTAATTATTATTATTATTATCATGACAACTACCACGTACTATCATCATAATGTTTGTACGTAGATTTATTTTAAAAAATATGATTTACATTTACACTATCACTCATCCATATTCCGTTTAGAGCATGTTGTGTAAATGACAATAATTATCATACAATATCATCATAGTTACCGTCATCATCTTTATTCTCTCAATCATCGTCTCAGTCATCAACTGTTTTATCATCATTGTCGTCATCTCCATCATCATCATCATCATCATCATCATTATCATCATCAGCGTCTCTAGCATCATTTTCATCGTCCCCCGGTTAAGACAGGGCGGAGCCGTAACATGCAGTCATAATATCGGTGCTGGTTCGAACAGCACACTCGCCTATGGTTCCGGTGGTGAAACGAATCTTCTCGTATAAGGATTCTAAACTGTAGGTCCAGTGTGCACAATTGGCTCGTGCGCACTTTAAATAACCCAGTACATCCTTGTAAAAGAGTAAGTCCGACCACACAAGGAGCGTTTACGTCGCGGCCATTGTCAGGTATCCTACCTGCAAACATTCACATTACGTATGTAAGATCATACACAGTAGTTGCGTAGTGAGTCGAAAAGAATATCTTCTCCATTATCACCATGATGATAAATGATTATGACCATCATCATCATTATAATTATCAACATTTATCATCATCATCATCATAAACAACTGCCATTCAACAATATTGTCAGTGGTATTACCACATTTTATTTGATAAAGTAAAATATAGGTAAAGTATAAAAAGTATCTATATAATTATATTAATAGTATTGTGTTACTATTTACAGCAAAAAAATGTATTTACGTAATTTGGTATAGTTGTACCGAATGTCAGAATATGTGGGGTGGCAGAAACCGAAAGATACAACTAATAAGACTTCTAATCGATTAGGTCAAAACCTAAATAACGTCAAGCCTAAAGACATCAATGGATTTTTGAGTGAGCGCTTGACAACGTGTCGTTAAAATGCCTCCCTTTCCCCCGTATCGCCGCAACTGGTCATGACATAACAATTTAATATGTCAACCGATGATAATGAAGTCAACGGTTCAAATTTAAATAGGTATAGGCCTAATCATCGGTATATTTACTCATATCACATAAGGCTAGTACTATGCTTCAAATGTATAAACTCACACCCTTTAATGTTAATTTTCATGTTTTGGCCCTTTCCCAAATCTAATTCAAATCTCACCATATATATTATTATTAAAAGAACAAGATATAAAATATATGAAAATTGCTTACAATACTTATAGAAACATTGACTTTTGGTAAGAATAGTTTTTACATTGACATAATTTAAAACACTAAATAGATACCTAGCTGTAAAATCGTGTATTATTATAATATTCCTACTCGCTGTCTTCGATCCTTCTTCTTTGAGCACACTTTTACCATTCCCTTACAGTTACCATGTAGATACACGAATCCCTGTCTCTTATACACATCTTTTTGTTGTGGAAATATCATTTTGCAGTAATCTTCTAAGTGATTCAATATTTCTTTTTTTTTTAATTAAGACCAATTTTAAACATGACAATATAATTGTCATATTAGGCAAGCTCACCAACAATACTGCCAAATCTACAGATGGGCAACAGTATACCGGCAACTTTTTCATCATAATAATATTAGAAATTGAAACCGTTTTGGTAATCGTTTATTGGAAGCGGCTATCGTTACACCCGTCCTAAAGTAATTCCTTAAAAAATATGATTAATACACTTCTAGATGGCTGGAAATGGCACTTCCACATTTAAATTTGATTTTTTTTCTTTTTAATAATTTGGACATATTTAGGAGACGAGTATGGGTTGGCCACTTAAATTCGCCACTGATGGCCTAATTGCAGAGTACTATTGAGAACAACTAAGACATAAATCGAATAAGAACATATTTGTGAAGCCATCTACAACGTGTGTGTCGGATCATCATAGTATTTTTGTCGTATTATATAAAAATGAAATATACTAGCAATCTATCGGATCAGAGGCATATAAAGGAGAATTTTAATTCAATAGACAATATGTAAAAGAAAATTCATTTAAATACATTCTCTTTTGCAAATTGTAAGTCTATTGAATCAAATTTTGTTAATCTAAATAATCTAAAGAACATTTCTCTACTGCCGTTATCACATGAGCTGTGGGTGAAGGGAATCACAGTGTATGCAAACAATGTACATGAATATTAAATCCAACTCCGCTCTCGGTGAGCCCTTGACGACGCCTCCCCGTTGAAAATGGTGAAAAAAACATAATATATTTAATAGATTTCATTATCAACCTCTTAGTTTGTATTTTCATCGTACTATACTATAATCATTATTATCAGGATACAATAATCATTTTGCAACGTCATTCATTTTTCTATATTCTGCCTAAGTTGTAAACATCCTGTCATTGAGTGAATTTAGTACACTGGCTCTCAATTAGACGAATTCAAATATATTGTATAGCAATAACAATAAAAGGTACAGAAAATAACTCCTCTGGAGTTAAAATAACTCCTTCAAAATAACAGTGAATGATTAATTACATCAGATCACCTACCTTGGTTGCTTGTACCAGTCTATTTATTGCAATGTATAATTGTGCGAAAGTTGGTCTCTCGTGAGGTCGGTCTCTCCAGCAATGGCGCATAATTTCATATCTGAAAGGTCCAATGTTATTTGAATAAGTTCCCGAGACAATCAGAAAGTAGCCCTAACATTAAAGTCAGAGGTCGACGCACCATCTGTCGGTGAAATGCTGACGAAAGGTCTGGGTGTAAAGGGAAGGAATGGTGGTGTGGGGTTTATACTCAGTTTATTCATCTAGGCATAACATTATTACTTTGAACCTTTTCTGTGGTGCTCGGTGTCTTGGTGTGCTTCGTTTCTGTTGTCATTGCATCTAAATGAACAAACTAAACCGAGGTCTCCACAGGATCTATGGTTTTCTGTCCAAAGATACAGGAGTGTAACTGTATCCGATAAGTGGAATTGACCGTATTCGACTGGTCGTTCTTCGTTAAACCACGCCCACCTGCGCAGTGGTAAAATCCTATTAAACGAAGACGACCAGTCGAATAGAAAACAGGTAAATACTAGACAAAACAAAATGGCTGCATACCGCGATACACGCTGCGTATAATCAAGGCTGCTTCGGATTGTGACAGTATGGGCTTTTTCGTAAAAAAATGTTTTCTGGTTACGTTAATTTTCGTTGTCAACGAAGTCTATTTTACGAACCTGCAGTCGAATAAAAATAATACTCAACGAAAATTTGTATTCAACGAAATGAACCAGTCGAAAAAGCCCATTGTTATTGGTGTACATGGTTGACCTACACGATAACATGGCCAGCCATGAATACCTTATCCCCAGCTTCTTTCAGGAGGGCAGCAGAGGATGCACTACTGTATCATACATCCAATAAAGAAAGGTTACCAGTTGAATTGAAAAATGCACTGTAAATCAATATAAACGAATCTACTGTCGCTTAATATAAGTTGACTTACACTTCGTCATCGCAGTTTAGTGGTTTTTCCATCCTGTATCCCATTGGCAGTTTTTCGTAAAGTTCTGCACACGTCATGCCTGGATATGGAGTACCGCCTGTTGAATGCAATAGAATTCAACTAAAACAAATGCTGAACCAATTTTTTTTATATAATTATTTTTGAATTCTTATGTAAAGCGCCTTTGAAAATTAATATTCATGAAAAGGGCGCTATATAAATTAGGTAAATACATAAATAAATAAATAAATCACTTATGGAGCTTTTACAATAATTACTATTTCCAATTGGTCTTCAATACTTATATAAATATTCATGAAGCTACGTTATTACTTACCCAGTGTAACAATCTCCCACAATAAAATCCCAAACGACCACCTGAAAATATTATCCAAAATATTATTATATTTAACATTAAGTACATAATAATGCAAATGCATTTGCTGTCTAATGGTGACAGAAATGTTTTTTCCCCGAACATGCTAAATAGGCCAACTAAATGGATACTATTTATATCATAACAAATTATTTTATAATAAAGTAAAACCAATAACCATCTTGTGCATACACACACTGTTTGTTAATATGGTCTGTAAAAATGTGCTTCCCAAATTGGGAATCGAACCCGGGCCACAGAAAAAATATTTACGTTACCAATTAACGGTGATGTTTTTCTACACAAATAATTTGAACACCAAACTGTAATTTATCATAATACACGATATTTGAACATTGACAGAATGGAATCCATATATCCATGATCAATACAAAACTATGTTATGTTTAGTAAGTAATATTTAACGATGAGCGGTTAACACACTTTACTATATAACACTTACACATCACTCTTCGTTGTATATACGCTGTAATTTATAGATTCTATCGCCATCCATCGAACAGGCAGTCGCCCCTAGAGACAAAAAACAACAAATCATTGATTTTGGAAAAGTGTGTTTGGCGCAATGGTAGCGGGTAGGGCTGTCAAGATTGAGGTTGGTGGTTCGAGCCTCTCGCTATGTATTTCGCTTGTGTCGTCCTTGGGCAAGGCACTTTACCTAAGTTCGTCACACCCTCCACCCAGAGGAATAGTTAGCCTACTTGGTAGGATGTTTTGGTATTCAATAAATCTGTACTCAATCTATTGCGACAATATTAGGTATATTCTCTAGGAACTGAGAGGAAGTTTCCGGGTTGTGTAGCCTTTCCAATAGATACAATAACCATACTTAAGCATGGAGCTCGACAAGGAGTTATAAAGATGTATTAATCTTTATACCTCTTTGGTAATAATAAAAAGAAAGTAGAGTTGAATAGCTTAGTTGTTAAGATGTTTGCCTGCTAATCCCAGGGTCCTGGGTTTAATTTCTGTGACAGCACGACTTTTTGTCATGACTAAAACAAAGTGACTTCGCTGAAGTCACCCTCTATAAATATAGTAAAAAATAATTAAATTAAAAATCGCTAGCACTTTCTCGCAAAACTCCCGCTATATATTTCTTTGTATATAAATATGACGCTATATTCTTATTTAAAAAAGAATATATAAGAAATCCAGTATAGGGCTAAAATATAAATCATTCGGATATCGAAATCGACCAATCTCAAAACATAAATTCACGTAAGTATCTTAGGCCTAATAAATATAACTCACTGCTGTGGTTTTTACGTAAACTTCCTCACTTCTTGATAGACCGAAATCCGTCACCTTAGCCACGATCTGGCCACAGTCAGCATTGCATAGTAGAATATTTCTTGCAGCCAAGTCGCGATGTACGCACTAATATATAATTGAAATTAAAAAAATAGTATAACACGTCAGATAGGGCAAATCATCATTTCTATGATATTTCCTGGCGCAAACTCACATCCTAATAGCACTTGCAGTACCCGCTGCTACTATGGGGATCGGATTCATCACTAGTCACTAAGCGCAAGCTCGGTGGTCTAGTGGTCAATACATCAGGCTAGATACCTGGAGGTTGTGGGTTCGATTCCCACCCGAATCACTTGCAATTTTTTTTCGCTAATACTTGGGTACGTACTGAGTATTCGGTACGATAACACGCCAGGCTGGGCAAATCATCACTTTTATGATATTTCCTGACGCAAACTCACATACTTATTATCATTATCAATATTCTAGTCATCATCATCATCATCATCATAATCATTCACCATTAACAGCATCATCATCAACATCATCAACAATATCATCACAACATCATCAACAGCATCATTATCATCAATTTCATCATCTTTTCTGTCTTGAATATCATTATCCTCATCACCATTTCCTTCCATTATCACCATCACCATCAGAATCATCATCATTTTCTTTTCTAATCATCATCATCCACATTCAATTAAAATTTCATTAATATCCTATAATTATAAAAACATAGTCGTTATTATTATTATTATTATTATCATCATCGCAAACATCACTATCTTACACAAGACATTTCTTGTAATATTATTGTTTTTCAGTTTTTCGACTTTAGCAATTCACCTACCCCCTTCTCTGACAGATGTTTCATTCCAAGACTAACATCTGCTGCGATCTGGAGCAGGTTCTCTGATGAAAGAGTCGAAGCTAAGTTTGTTTTATTTGCGTAAGTTGGGTCAGTTTCCAGACACCGACTTCTCCGTAAGTAGTTTAGCAAGTTTCCATATTCTGCAAATTCTGTGGCCACGTACAATATTCCTATGGAATAGTATGTGAATTTAAATTCAAATAGTTACAAATATAATTGCATAAAACGAAATTGATTTGACTTAATAAACAAAACAATAAAATAATATATAAAAGACATCAGTAATACTTTCAATTTTCAATATGAGCAAATTATTAGCTAAATACCGGTATGCTTACTATTTAATTTATTTCAAGACTGTATAAAATACGGTACTAATTATATTATTGTTCGTTTGATAAAAAAAAACAAAAACATAAAGACCAAATAATAACGCGGTCGACGAATGTAAGGTAGGCTTAGTATTAAAATAATTTATGTGGCATATCATAATGT